ATCGCGCTGTGGTAGAGTACGAAGGGCAGGGCTACTGCTCCTGATAAGCGAGTCAGGCGTACGTGGTGTTGTAGGTCTGCTGTTCTCTTTAGTCTTCGTGAACATCCCAGCCTGAGGCTGATTGTGAGGCCGGTGACTCTTATGGTACACCACATCCTCCACCACAACCAGATCTTCATTCAAAGAGTCTACCAGGCTGGAAACTGTTTTGAAGCCCATAGAGACTAAGGAGACGTCTTGGCTGTATTTCTGTTTATAGGCTGCAGTCAACAACTTCAGAGTGATCCCATCCGGATGTCCTTTCATCATTTTCACAATTCTCTTCAAAGTCTTACATCTTTTTTTCACTTCGGGAGCTGCTGCTGATTCCTTACTTTGAGCTGCAGCTCCACATTCGGCTCCAGCTGTCGCCTGGTTTCCCCCACGATGGTCCCTGTGAAACACCAGTTCTTCTTCTAGAACCAGATCCCTCTCCATCGAGGATACCAGGCTGGTCATGGAGTCAACGCCCAGTTTGGATAAGGTCAAGTTCTTGTGATATGTCTGGCTATAGACGATAGCCAGCTTTTTAAGCGGGATCCCATCAGGGTGCTCCCTGACAATGGACACTAGCTCCGTCCGAAGTTTTTCCATCTTGAGTGACACTATCAGGGAGAAAAGAGACCAGCATTAATGGACAATATGATTATCTGCTAGAAATATAGCTTGCTGTATAGTAAGTAAACAAGTAAAACGTTATTTATATAGCACCTTTCCAGATAAAAGACCACAAAGTGCTTCACGCAAGGATAACAAAGTATAAAACAAAACAGACAACACTTAACAAAATGCAATTCTAAAAAAATGTGCTTTTAGTTGTTTTTTAAAGGAAGTTACTGAGTCCAGAGATCTTAAGCTCAGTGGGAGAGAGTTCCACAGTCTGGGAGCCACAGTGGCAAAAGCTCTATCTCCCTTAGTTCTCAGCCTTGTATGATGAATGACAAGTAGACCCTGATTACATGACCTAAGAGACCTGCTAGGGACATGGGGCTGTAGAAGTTCAATGATGTAGGCAGGAGCATGTCGATGAAGAGCTCTATAAGTCAGAACCAGAATCTTGAAATGGACTCTAAAGTCAATGGGGAGCCAGTGCAGCTGTATTAGCAACAGTGTCACATGTGAATACTTAGATGTTTTGGTCAGAAGTCTTGCTGCAACGTTTTGAACAATCTGTAGACGCTCCAAGGAATTTTTGTTTAAACATGTAAACAGTCCAGTCTTGATGAAATGAAAGCACCAATGACAATCTCCAGTTCAATACGAGATACAATGGGGCTTAGTTTAGAAATGTTTCTTAAGTGAGAAAAGCAGGACCGAAGTTAGTGTTACTGTGTATACTGTGTTTGGCAGTGTACTTAATGTGTTAACC